TGCCCCTTTAAAGGCTCGGACTGTCACAAGATTCTGGAAAGCGTTTATCATTTGCATTGGGAAAGGTTAATGTATTCTTCCCAAATATAAGCTCCTGTTTATGCAAAAGCATGTCTCTCCTATTTGCCCTGCCAGAGCTCTGATCCAAGCTTGTATTTGAAAACTGATGATCTCAGGTAGATATTAAAGGATTTCTAGGGCAGAACATGCTCTTGTTAATGCAATAGGGAGGAGTCTTATGTAGTCAAAATCATCTGGAATTGAATTGGTCTTTATCAAATAGAACATCTAGATTCCTATTAAATGTTCCTGTGTGGTTAGGGAAATGGTAGTTCTTCCAGGTAATTATGCAGGCAAGGACTCTTCACCCTTTTACGTAGAGTACCTAGGAGTGGCAAGGACTGCCAAGATCTGTATGATTGCTTGTTCACAGAACTGTCAGGTCAGGATGATTTATGGGCCTTCCCTACACAGGTCCACCACTAAGAGTACAGGGACAGAAAGAAAGAATTTTTTTTAAAAAGTCATACTTTCCAGATGAGAAAACTGAGGCATGGTAAAAAGAAATGGTTTCAAATTATCACAGTTACAATTTAAGATACAGCCAAATACCCATAATTTCCATTAGTTGTTTCTGACAACAAAAATTTGAGAATGTGATAATTTTAGAGCATGTAGTCTGGTATACTCACTTAACAAAGTAGAAAACCAAGGTTTCACAGCACCTAAGCTGTGTTAGAAGCTTCTACGGCTAGTTAGAAGCAGAGTCTGGACAAGACATAGGTGTCTTGACTCTGAGTTCTTACTTAATCCATGCCTCTCTTCCTCTGGGCTTAAAATATTAGTTATGAGAAAAGTGATTTTATAATCAAACAGACAATTTCATGGTGTGACTTAAAGAAGTGCTGGGTAAATCCTTTGCTCCAAATATCTATCCGAATGCTTATTAGTTTATTACTGGAGTTTTACTCTTTGGGTCTCAAAGTCTTTTGTTCTCGGTTTTTCTCTGCCAAACCTCTGGGAAATCTGAGTCTGACCAACTTTCACCTTTTATCTTTGCTAATCATCAGTGAAGAGCAAGACCCAAAATGAACCAAAATGGCACCTCTAAAGGGGCCCAATGACAGCCAAAAAGAAAAAGAAAACAGGTAGGGCAGAAACAGACCTCTCAAGTTCTGTAGTTTTCTTCTCTTTGTTCTTCTTTGTGCTAAAATCTAAGCCTCTGAAAAGCCTAGACTCCCTCAACACATAATCTTGACTTCCATTGGCTTCATCTGCTTATTGTTCTGAGCTGCTTGACCACAGGTTTCTGTGGGGGCTGAATTATGAGTCTCTGGCTCAGGCCCAGGAACTTTAAAGGATGTGAGAGTCCCTGAACAGGGCATACTGTAGCCGTCTCTCTGCTCCCACATAGTTGCACTTATCCAAAGCTGTAAACTGCTTTCAATTATCATCAGGGAGATCAAAAAGAAAACACGTATCACTAAAAGATAATATGAGGGGTGGGTATGTCCTTTGCTAAGGGAGGCGGAGAAGGTGTTTATAGACTGACAGCAGAGTTCTATTCTGTTCTGTTTTACTGCAGATTAACTAAATCATCTTTTCCACAGCTGAATGCTCCTTGGATTCTAGCTAACCTACAGAAAAAGAGTCCCACTAAGTCACTGCTCAAAGCGTCGCCTCAATTGGCTATGTGGTGACTCTGCTGGTCATGAGCGCTCTCATGTATCTACAGAATGGCCCAAAATTTTAGGGACATTTTCTCTTTTCTGTTTAAGTGCTCATCTATCCTGACAATTCAGATGGTGGAGTAAGAAACAATGGCAGGTAATAAAACAAGCACGGGAACCTACAACCAGATTCAAGTTCAGAGTCTTTGCTTACGTTCTGGGTGACTTATCCATGCATGTTCTTCAACATATAATATAGTAAGATAAAGCACTTTCTATATTAGAGCCATTATTCTTAGTACTGTTGCCCAAATCTACCAATAACTGTTCCTCATGTGTAAAATGGGAATCATTTATCATTTTATCAATACTTCGTAGGACTACCTGGGGATTAAATAAGACAACATGTGAGTTCCTTATCTACTGTAGGCACACAATAAGAACTACTATTTCACAGGTGCATGTTATTCCATTCTTAAAAGTAAAGTGTGAAAGCCGGGTGCAGTGGCTCCCACCTGTAATCCCAGCACTTTGGGAGGCCAGGGTGGGTGGATCACTTGAGGTCGGGAGTTCTAAACCAGCCTGGCCAACATGGTGAAACCCTGTCTCTACTAAAAATATAAAAAATTAGCCAGGCATGGTGGCAGGTGGCTGTAATCCCAGCTACTGGAGAGGTTGAGGCAGGAGAATTGCTTGAACCCAGGAGGTGGTTTCAGTGAGCCAAGATCACACTGTAATCCAGACTGGGTAACAGAGTGAGACTCTGTCTCAGGAAAAAAAAACATATGAGTGGTTTTTGTTTTTTAGCACTCTTCAAAGGTACCTGAAGCAAATTTGCACAGAAGCAGCCGCTGCATTGCCTCAGTTCTATCTTCACTTTCACGATGTTTTCCTTGGTCAAAAACTCATCAAGTCATCTCCAAGTTCCAAGCATTCAGCAAACAATGGTGAGGCACAGCCACCAGTTCGTGGAGAGATCAGTAATTATCCCAACCGGCGTAATACTGAATTGTTTAAAAAAAAAACCTTATAATTGATGCCAAGTGAAAGCACTGAATATCCTTAAGATATGACATTATTGAAGAAATAAAGTAAACTGGCAAGTTTCAAAAACAAACAAAAAAGGTATAGTGTAAGTCCTGCCTAGACCATGAACTAGTTAAAAATCAGAGTGAGTGTCTTATTCATCTTTGTTTTCCAAGCCCTGTCAGAGTAACTTGCACATAACAAGCTCTCTATCCATGTTTGTAGAAATGAATGAGTACTTAGGAATTAATAAATTGTTTGGTGATAAATATATAATCTCACAATTCAAAGAAGTCACTGAGAATCCAGGGAAAAAGTAAAGAGTGTGTGTGTGTAAAACTCTGTGTGCGTGTGTGTGTAACTGTGTGTGCGTGTGTGTCTGTGTAACTGTGTGTGCGTGTGTGTAACTGTGTGTGCGTGTGTCTGTGCGTAACTGTGTGTAACTGTGTGCATGTGTGTCTGTGTGTGTGCGTAACTGTGTAACTCTGTGTGTGTGCATGTGTGTCTGTGTGTGTGCGTAACTGTGTGTGCGTGTGTGTGTGTAACTGTGTGTGCGTGTGTTTTGTGTGTGTGTGTGAGAGAGAGAGAGAGAGGAGGAATAAGAAGACAATAGGGAATGCTGTGAAATCTCCATCAAATTCCCTCCCATCCACAAGTTATACATTTAGTTTGCAGAGACAGTAAGTCATGGAATAATTCTTTCTAGGTCATTGCAGACTATTTACTGTTTCATTTGTATATATATGATCAATTTGAAAGTGCAAATTAAGAATTTCAGTGGGATTTGACTCACTTCCAGAGTCCTTGAGCTCTTGATGACACTTTTTTCTTAACACGGGACCCTGCCTCCTTGTCTCCCACTCTCTAACTCTGTGGTTACCTTGAGTAATGAAGTCACATGGGAACACATCAGAGATTCTGATTCAGAATGCATCTGATTCCTTCCTGTTTGGATCAGTTTCTCAGCACCCAGTTCATTTCTGAAAGCACATCAATTCCAGGATGTGCAAGACCCTGGGACAGAGTATTCTCTCTCACTGTCTGCTAATGAGATAAGTGCCACAAGTTAACAGGCGGCCACGGGAATAACAGCAAGCACTCCAGTATGTATTTCCTCTAATTACCCATGTTTGTGTTCTTGCTAATTTGAGAGGGATTTCTGTGATGAGCCAAGGCCTCATTTCTTTTCCTCCCTCCCCTAACTCTGGCCTTCTAAGGAATATCTATAAAATTTCCTCCTCTACTGGTAGGACTGAACCACTAATTAAAGCACTATGGACTAACATGGCCATCTGGATCCCATCTGTTCTTCCAGAGACTGAGAGGTCAGCATGGAGGGCCAGAGTTGATCACTAACCCTCATCTGTGGTACTTTGCATCTTAGAGAGAAGGTCAGAGATCAAGAGGGCAAATTGAATGTCACTTACGGAGCAGTGGAAGCACTTCCTTTGTTGTATTGGTATATTTATATGGACTCGATTATACCAAGTCTAATAGATTTAATGCCATCTGGATCTTACAGGTGGCATAAAAACAATATATGATATGGAGACTGGCAGAAAGAGAAAGAAAAAGCAAGGAGAGTCTTCCAGAAGAACAAGATCCATGTGGGTGTATTTCTATGTCTCCAATAGCACCCTGAGTAACAAGAGTGACCCACTATTAGCACCTGTCATATACCAGGTGCTTTTCATAGATTCTTCTAAGCCTTGTATAACCTAAATGTCAGCCCTGACTGTCCCTAAGTTCTCCAGCTTTCTGAAGTCATCTTGTTTTTTAACATTTAAGTAAAAATGGGCTTGAATGTCCATTTTATGTATATAAGGAAACTCAGGGTCCTTCCCAATGTCTCCAAGGATTTTTACGGTGCTCATATTCCTTGTAATTCTTCCTGTTTCTGAGTTCCTTCTTCCAGATAATGCATTTGATATTGCCTTGCATTTTATTACGAAAATTAGCAAACCGATGCAAAAGAAAAGAGTGTGATCAATCGGGTACTTAGCTTCAACAAGGGCCAATTTGTGATTAAAATTTTAAATCAGTGCCACCTCCTACCATAAACGGATCACTTTAAAGAAAATCCGAGACATATTTTTCTTTCCAGGAATAAATAATACTTCATTCATAAAAAATTCAGCATGTATGGCGAACAGACTGTAAGGTGGTCCTCACTCTTCCTATTTTCTAGTGTTTGTGCTTTTGTGTAGTTCCCTCCTTATGAATGTGGACAGGACATGTGACTCTCCGTAACCAACTGTGTGTACATGATTAAATAACATAAGATTCTAATATCCATCCTTCTAGGAGATTCTCTCCCTTGTCGATTGGAAAAAGCCAGCCACCATGTTGTGAGTGTCCCAGTGAAAAGAGCTATATGGCAAGGAACCGAGGGTGGCCGTCAGCTGACAGCCAGCAAGAAACCAAGATCCTCAGTCTGGTAGCTTGCAAGGCACTGAATTCTGCCAACAACTGCATGGGCTTGGCAATGGATCCTTCCTCAGTTAAGCCTCGGGTAAGACCCGAGCCCTGTTGGACACCTTAATTGCAGCCTTACAGACAACCCAGCTAAGGCATGTTCAGACCTGATCCACAGAAACTGTGAGATAATCAATGTGTGTTGTTTTAAGCCTCTGAGTGTGTGGTAATTTGTTAAACAGCATTAGTTAGCTAACACAGATACCTAGACGGCTGGTAAAGCATTATTTCTGGGCGTGTCTGTGAAGGTGTTACTGAAGGAGATTGACATGTGACTCAGCGAACTGTGTGCGGAAGATCTGCCCTCAATGTGGGTAGGCACCATCTAATGTTGTGTTGGTGTACAACAAAGAGGCAGAGGAAAGGTGAATTCACTCTCTCTCTACTGAAGCTGTGCTACTTTTTCTCTTGCCCGTGGACATCATAACTCCAGGTTCTCTGGCCATTGGACTCTGGGACTTGCATGAGCTATGGGCTTCTCAGGCCTTCTGCCTCAGATCAAGAGTCACACCATCGGCCGGGTGCGGTGGCTCAAGCCTGTAATCCCAGCACTTTGGGAGGCCGAGGCAGATGGATCACGAGGTCAAGAGATCGAGACCATCCTGGTCAACATGGTGAAACCCTGTCTCTACTAAAAATACAAAAAATTAGCTGGGCGTGGTGGCGTGCGCCTATAATCCCAGCTACTCGGGAGGCTGAGGCAGGAGAATTGCCTGAACCCAGGAGGCAGAGGTTGCGGTGAGCCGAGATCGCGCCATTGCACTCCAGCCTGGGTAACAAGAGCGAAACTCCGTCTCAAAAAAAAAAAAAAAAAGAGTCACACCATCAACTTGCCTGGTTTAAAGGCCTTTGTACTTGGACTGAGAAATGTCATCAGCTTCCCCGGGCCTCTAGCTTGCAGATGACCTATCGAGGGACTTCTCAGCCTCCATAATCACACGAGCCAATTCTCCTAATAAATCCCCTGTCACATACCTATTTATCTACATACATATATCCTATTTGTTCTGTCTTTCTTGGGAACCCTGACTAAAACAGTATGTACTGCTAAAAGATAAGGACCTTAAAAAATATTACCATGTCTAAAAATAAAATAATTTCTTAACATCATGAAATATCCAAGTGCTCTCCAAATTTTCACAATTATTAAAGTCCACATGTTGCATTTAATTTTAATGTCTCTTCGTTCTCCTTTAATTTTGAGATTACCTTTTAAGTAAGGCAGTTTAGCTATGTAGTCTCACTCCAGCCCATCCAAGGTATGTTCAAAGACCTCACCTTCACACTAACCACAGCCATAATAAGCTGCTTCTTACACAACGAGAGCTCTCACTCTGAACGGAATCCTAAGCATACCTCTTAAAATAATAACCTATTATATCTCTACTAAGTTTATAATCATAAAGAACATGGGTATTTGCATTCCCATTTTACAGATGGGAAAATTAATGCAGGTAACACATACAGAGAAGTGATAAATACAGTGGCTTCCAAGAGTGGTGACTATTTCAGTGCAAAACAGAGAGTGGTGGTGGCAAGAGATAGACCTAAGTAAACATGGATAGTGAAGGGCCCATTCTGCCTTGTTAAAAGGTTTGAACCCACTCTATAGACAATGAATCACTCAGTGAATCACTGAGCAATTTTAATTACGGAAGGAACATGATCAGATTTATATTTAAGACAGGAGGATTGGTGGCAATGTAGAAGGCAAACACAAGTCAGAAAAAATTAGAAGAAAGGCAAAAAGTCTGAAGAAACTGGCCACATAAGAGATGAGGGGGCTGGAACGACTAATTATGCATCTTATTCTGCAATATGTCTCTTTGGTAGTTGATTATTGAAACCCTACATCCAAATAGTGGGACAGTTAACTGAGATGTCAGAGCTAGCCTTTTCAACACTTTTAGAGAGAAATTTTGCAAAGGCACATCTCTTGTACCTCCATGGACTTTTAATACAGATATGTGCATCATAAGATAACCACCTAAAGAGCTCACAATAGCATATGATCAAACTCTTTATTGCACAGTCAGGAGCAATCAGCCTTGTTGAAGGAAAAGGCTTACCCAAGGTTACAAATTGGGATGAAACTTTTGCTTCTAATTCACTGCTGTTCTTACTAGAACTGTTTTCTTCAGCCTCATAGAAGTTCTGAGAAACAATTAGGCCCACACTACCATCAACAGTCAGATATGTGTGCCTGACCAGACAGAGAGGTATTTTGAGAGAGGCCAGAAATGAAGCTGGTGAAGAGGCCCAGAGTTTCAATCCTATCCCCACTGAAGATTCATCACCCTCGTCATCTTTACCGTAAGGAAGAGGGCATTTAGAAGTGCAAATGAGATTGTTAGTGATAAAAAGGTACTTATACACCAGCCAATTCCATCCTCCATTTTGCTGAGGTTCAAAGATGTACAGTGACTTATCCTTAATTATGTATGTGACTATGGAGAGCTGGATATTGGACTTAGGCCTCCTGAAGCCCAGCACTGTGCCTGCAAAAGCACTACCAACTCCTGTGTTTCTACTCCATACATGGGGAAGAGATGAACAGTTCAGGCTACTCAAAATGTGGTGGGCATTTGGGCTCTGGGGAGAGCTTCAGCATCTCTTTTTTTCATTTCTCCAACTCCTCAAGCAACATACACACATACCATAAAGATCACTAGCCAGCTATTTTCTTCCTTGAAAAACTTTCATGGTAAGAGTTTCCTAATTACAGAAAGCCATGGTCCATACACAAAACATAAATTACTAGGCTTTTTGTCTTTTTCGGAAGATGTATTAATCCATAAATACATATACTCTGTTGTCAAGTCACTACCATGCTATATCATATGGCAAAAGGATGCCAAAAGGTATGAGCTCTTGGTGAATCACAGCTATGGACAGCCAGGTGCTGGACTTCAACCAGAGGCATTGCGTAGGTTGTTAAGTATATGGGCTCTGGTCAGTGGTGACAAAGTTCCTGGGTTCAAATCCCAACACCCCCAGTTACTAGTTATGTGACCTTGGACAAGTTAATTAAAATCTCTGTACTTCAATTCCTTTATTTGTAATGTGGAAATGATTTTTTTAATTACCTATCCTCTGGGTCTATCTATTAAATAAGATAATCCATATAAGGCTAACTATATGTGGATTTTTGCATATAGTGAGCACTCAGACCAATGGAGTATATTTCCTTTTGATGTAAAAAATTCAGCTGGATGCGGTGGCTCAAGCCTGTACTCCCAGCACTTTGGTAGGCTGAGGCAGGTGGATCACGAGGTCAAGAGATCGAGACCATCCTGGTCAACATGGTGAAACCCTGTCTCTACTAAAAATATAAAAAATTAGCTGGGCATGGTGGTGCATGCCTGTAATCCCAGCTACTCAGGAGACTGAGGCAGGAGAATTTCCTGAACCCAGGAGGCGGAGGTTGCGGTGAGCCGAGATCGCGCCATTGCACTCCAGCCTGGGTAACAAGAGCGAAACTCCGTCTCAAAAAAAAAAAAAAAAAATTCGCAGAGACAGTTTCTCTGTAATTAAGGCAAGAATCAAGACTGAGTTTCTATAAATTATTTTTGCTTAGCCAAAGAAATCATGGCAATAGATTGAATATATTTTAATTTAAAGTAGAAAGTTATATAGGAAAAATAGATATATCTTCCAGAGCTCAGTCTCAAAGCCCACGTTTTATTTTGAGTATTTTAATCTTCAAAACCTACTTAGTATACGGTAGAACTGCCTACTTCTGTATTGAGTAACGTTAGCTACCATTACCATGGTAACAGCAAGGGCAGCAACTTGAACTCTAGTCATAGCAGCTACAGTAAAGGGGAATCAGTTTAAAAATAATTCGAATCCATACTTTTTGAGACTGAAATTCATTGCCTTTAAGACCCAATGAAGATTGCTGGTGGTAGTCTGGAATCGACTTAAGTCAAGATACGTCTATCTTCAAAAAGAACACAGGACAAAAAATCCAAAATAGGAAAAAAATAAATTATCTTATCTCTCTGGTGCATTTACTGGTCTGATGAGTCATAAGAAAATAATAACCCGGAGGCTAGAAACAAAGACATAAGCAGAATTCCTTTTATTTGATGGGTAAAATTGACTTGTAGTGAGTCCCAAACTATTTTTTTTTTCATAAAAACAAGGCAAATGGGCCCATTTTTAAGTTGAAAATATTGATCCATTGTGTTTTCCCTTTTATAGTTTTGTATATTTCAAAATTATAGAATGCTGAAATTATAAGAATTCTTTCAATATGATTTTATACATTTAACAAAAGTCCAGAGGGAAATGTACGACTACAGTCCTAGTACTTACAAAGGATCTAGGTGAGATTAGAAGTCAAGTCATAATTTTGTCTTGTCTGCCATATTAGGCTACCCTCTCTGAGAACCTAACATGTCATGTTATGCTTCAATAAAGCTCTTCTCCTTAGTAAGGAAGTAGAGATAATTATTAAATCACTTTCCAATCACCCTACAGCACTGGGAAAACAAATACTGATGAGTGGGTGTTGACAGCATCTCAGAAACGCCTGAAGATGCCTATGATTTGAGAGAGGCTAAAATCCTGTTACTTAACACTCCAAGGCATGTTTATATTCTGCAGTTATTCTTCTCCACCCTCTGACTTCTGCTGAAAAGGGCCCTTTCTGGGTAGCTCATTTTCTCTCATTAACATTCTTCCAAACTTTCTCTCCTCTCCCACCACATTAAGAGAGTCCTGGCTGTTCAAAAAAGGTTGAAGGGCTCACACACCATTCAGGCGTCTCTGTTCCTCAACCACAGGAATGAGGACTCTTTAAGAGGTAAGAGACTCTAAAAGGAACAAAGAGCCCCCTGGAGCCTGGAGCCTCTAATTGTCACGATGTTTCCTTCCTAGTTCTGCAAACCAAAGTTCTGTTTTGTTGACAGATCCTAAGGAGGCCTCTGTGGAAGCCTCTGTTCTGCACAAGATTAATTGAATGGAATAAGTACCTGCACAAGCAAAGAAAGGGTCTTGGACTAACTCTCAGAGACCTGTCCTGCTCCAACTCTGGCCTGGGTTCTGAATGTTTTACATTCACACCTATATCTAGAACTGATCACAGCCTCCCCGGTCTCCCCAGTTGCCGTCCTTTATTTTTTGTTTGTTGTCTCTACACTTGCAATCCATCTATCTCACAGCCATTAACCTAGTCTTCATTAAGCCTGGTTTTCATTGTCTCTCTCTTCTTCTTTATTCAATTCCTATACTCTTCCTTTGCCCAGTTTGATAAAATCCAAACTCCTCCACCTCAGGACACTCCCTCCTTTCCAACCAAGCTTATGGATTTGTTCTTTTTTGCTACTAACTCACTAATGCACATATCTCTGCTCTTGCCATTCCTTCCAGCAATGTCTTCCTATCAGGCCCACTTCCTGGCCCCACCCTCTCTGTTCAGCTGGGCCCCCTTATCTCCATACCAGCAAGGAGGTACCATGCTTCTTCAGCTCCTGGCTCATTCAATGTGAGGCTGACAGCATGGCAACAGCCCTGCTCCCCTCTCCATCTGCCACTAAATCACAGCAGTTGACTTTCAGACCTTGGGTGTTGGGCCTGCCCAGTCCTCATGTTATCTCACCTGCTGTATCTGACCTGTCCCTAGAACTGGTCTTTTTCCTTGGTCTTTGCTCTTAGATACTGGCTATCTTCCTGACCAGACTGTCCTCCCTGTCATTCTTCTCTGTTCTGAACTTCAGCCAATATATGAGCTCTACTGTCTGGACTGATCTCCAAAACACTACCCAGCCTGCAGACATCCACCCACCTCTGTGTACTTAAATGAAGTTGCTCAATGTTCATAGTAATAGCTCCCATCGATGGTTTGTGTATTTCACTTTTGTTATTTTCTAAAGCTTTATTTTTTATTTTGTATTTTCACTTGTATTTGTTGTTCATTTATATGCTTTTATTATATTCTTTATGAAGTATTTTATCTACATTATCTTATTTAAACCTCATAATAACCCTAAATCAGAATATATTCATATTTGAATTTTTATATGAAGAAATTAATGTTCAGAGAGATAGGTACCTGCGCAAGGTCACATAGCTTATGAGTTGCGACGATCTTTTGTCAAACCTGACCTAAATTCCACTTCTGACAAAAAGACTTTCCAGTTACTTTTTAACTCCTTGGCTCACGC